ACCACCCTTTTGCCACAGACATGCAGAAGGAAGCCCCAGTCCGACAACAGTCTAAACTTGGGATTTCCGACTTGCTGAGAAAGAGTTAGTTATTAAGACCGTTTTCTGACAAATACAAAATAATTTATTGAAAATAAGAAATTACAGCCATTTCTCTGAGAACAAGCCCCATTCTCTCTTGTGTTTACCCGACACAAATGCCTGTCATACTTGGTATGCCTTGCAGTTGTGAGGAAGGCAGTGGAAGAAGCATTGCAATCAGATCCCAGCCGGATTCTTAAAAGGGAATTTGGCTCCTTCGTTAAATACCAACGACCCTATTTGGGCCAGGATCAACAGCTGGAACCCAACTGGCAAGTTCCTTGCTCGCGCTTGGGGCGACAAGTGCCTGCTGCCCTCCCTGCCCCGCTGCGGCAGCAGCTGTCCGCGCGCGCGCCGCGCCGAGCCTCCCCGCACCACCAGGGTGCTTGCTCCCTGCACGTTATCCCTGGCTATCTCCTAGCACCTTTCCGCTCCATGGAAGGCCTTCTCCAGGTCAGGGGGATTTTAGCCTCTCCCAGTCTGTCAGATGAGCAATTTTTTTGTCCTCAATACTGCTAGGCTTCCTGATTCTTCAGAGGAGACTTCATGCCCTCACCTAGCTAGTGGCCATTTGCTGAGCCCTGGTGAAAGTGTCTGGCAAGGAACGGATACAGAAGTGCCTTAAACTGGAGAAATCACACCATTCACAAAGGCAGTGTGCGTACGCGTGCTGCTTGCAGGCTCGCTCCCCAGCGAGCTAACACAGAAGACAGCAGCTCATCAGCAGCACCACCGGTAGCAGTAGCCACAGCGTCACTCTAGGGCCATGAAATCAGAAGTTGGTATGCAACGTATCAACCATCGACATCCGCTGGGCCTCCCACCCTCTCGGCAGGTCAGAACAAGTTCCGCCCATTGACTGCAATGTTGCAAACCTAGTTTATCACCTACAGGAGACAAAAAAATGACATGCTTCAATAATAAAGAATTCACTCTTGCTTAACCACCTGCCCACAAATTATCTCGAACAATGGGCAGCGGTAAGGGAAGGGAGGCGAGATGTCTACGTCCATGCATAAATTCCCACCCTGCGCTTGCTCCCGCTGGAGACGGAGAAGGGACGGGAAAGGGTGAGCAGCAAACCGACGCGGCTCAGCTCGGCTCGCCCCACCAAGGGAGCAGGCACAGCAGCTCCAGCTGCCCCTCCAGGGTCAGAGCAGCCACAGGAGGGAACCTTCCTACCGCAGCAGGGCTTCATGTACCATTTAGCTGTCATCTAGATAAGAACAATTTCCACCACCACCTCAAGACCATTGTTAAGCGTATCTGACACATCGCAGCTCTTTTCCATTCAAATGCCTCCTCAACCAGTTCAAATATAGAAGCTGCCTTTCATTAGCCCAAGCCTATTACTCATTTCAATACCACTCCAGTTAGAAACCTCACTGTTAATTTGACAATGCCTTCATGCACTGTGTCTTAACTGTGAGATACTTCACAAGCAGAAGTTTCCCAAGCTCCTGATACAAATTTCCCCAGCATCAACAGCATGTGTTCTTGTATTATTAAATGGAAACGTGGCCAGAAAGGGTGACGCTGTGCAGGATTTAAAGATATAATAAACCCACAAAACACATTCCAATGAATTTATATATAAAAATGAGCGGAACTGTGTTCAATAGGATTTAAAAGTGAATTCCATTATTTGAGAAGAGTATTTACATGTATACGTAAGCCCCAAATTGTTGACTGTTTGGCTTTTCCATGAGCCAAATAATGGATGTCTTCCACATTTCCTTTACATCTGATCAGAATGGAAAGACATTTTCCACCTTCAGCTATGCACATTGAACAAAAGGATAAAAAGGAGAACATCATCTGTATGCTTCTACAGTTAGTAAGAAGTTTAACACAACAGGTCAGCAAATTTTAGGGTTTTTTTTTTGTTAAATAAACTACTGCAGCCTCTGGGACAGCAGAGAGAAATTCCTTTGATAGTTAAAATGAGAGTGAAAGTTTATTGCTCAGTCTAACAGGGTGAAAAAGAGGTGCATGTTGGATTTTCTAAATAGAGAAGAGAAAAGACTTAATTCTGTTTGATTATCTTTGAGTAACTCTAAGCAACCATGGCATTTACAAATGGGAATTCATCCAGCAATTTCGCCTTAAGGAAAAACTTTATTATTTTCAAAACAACCAGTCCAAGAAAAGTTTTAAACCTGCTTCTCTCTGTAATGACTTTTGGATAACAGAAGACAAACAATGCACCCTAGAAGATCAACATGAGCAGCCACATAAAAAAAATTACTGATTCCTGTCCAACTTAACAAAATATATGCTTATAAACTTTAAAAATGCAAATATCCAAAATATTTTATGCAGTCTTATGTTAACAGCCTCTTTTGAATGTCATTACTCTGTAAAAACTGAGCACAGTTGAATCTGGGGAAGAGATATTTCTAGCATCTTTCAGCACATTAGCAACCAGTGTGCAAGTGTCCTGCATGTTTTTCACCTTGCGCAATTTGACAAATGTTTGCAAATGGCCTATTCCCAGCAAAGCAGTGCTTTACAGACAGCTTCCACCTGGCAAGACAGGACAGAGACTTTCTAGGCCACCAGAACAACGTTGGAGCTGGGAGGTCTATATCAATCAGGTCTTCAGCTTTTCCATCAAAGTTTTCCTCTTCCTCAAGAATTTTCTTAAAAACACCACTAGGAACTCTTTAATCACAGAACTGCGGTACAACTGATGTCATCGCTTTTTTTAAATTCACATGTGCAAGGCTCTCTGTGTGAAGGCTGTTCAGGAAAGATTGTTCTAGTAATAGGCAGAAAGGCTGATCCAACCTTCTGTAAAAGAGCTCACAGCTGCATCCCACTTCCCAGCAGGTACAGCTATTTTTCCTTTGGGAAGTACCAGCCTCACCAAAGTGTCCTCCCCTGACCCAAGAATCTTTCCATTGCCCTCTCAGCTCTTTGCATTATGAGCCTTGATGTTGCCTCTAGGCTGAAAAGCCTGCAGATAAAATGAATTTTCTCCAAGGTCATGCACTCCTTTCAACGCCTTTATTTGCCGGTTTGTGAGGTATTAAATAAACTGCAAACTTTATAGTGAAAGGAGATAATTTCCCATATGAATCCAACAGACAGTGAGATGAGATGCATAAGCTTTCAGCTAGAAATCTAATCACAGGTTCATAGCCTAATCACAAGTCTAGAAGCTTTCTTTTGTACCCTGAAGGTCCTAAGCACCCTCTCTTTGCAAAGACAATATATGGCACATCCAAATGCAAATCTATTCCTCTCTTTATTTCTATATTCAGCTCTCTGGCTGATTACAGGGAGGCATGTGTGTGTGTGTTCAGTAGGTCCTCCTGCTTCTTTAAATAAGTTTAATAATACCCTTTTTATTTATGGGAGCCCAAAGTACAAAGGATGCAATGCAGGAACTCTGCAAGAAGAGAAAGGAAAAGAAAAGCAAACTAGCTGAAGATACAGACTGGAAAGGGCTCAGTAATTCAATATCGTTGATTCTATAGAGACCAACAGCTTTTATTATGCACCAATTTTCTGAAAAGGAAAAAGTGTCACAATTCTGAACTTGCAAAGGAAAAGAATATGTACATCTCTTGAATAAGAGCAGCCTTCTCTAAAAAGGCAGTTTAAAATCAGGGCACTCTACCAAACATTTCAGATCTGCTTTCATATAGTTTTCATCCAGTGACTCTTAACAACTAACGTCTCACTGCACAGTTGCATTAAAAAAAAAAAAAAAGGAAGGGGGGGGGGATTTAAAAGAAAGCCCCTAAAAGGGTTCGACTGAAAGGCAAGAGATCTCCAGCTGCAAGAACGGCTCTACTTCACCCTCTTCTTGTTGCTCTCACATGGATCAGGATAAACCCCGGCTGCTTAAGCAACCTCGCCGCGATGCCACTGCAGCCGGCGCCCCTCGGTTTTCCTTTTCCACCGCTTAATTCTGGGCCACTTCGCAGGAGCGCGGGGCACGGGGCGAGGGACGGGGGCAACGCAGCCTCGCCCG